CTTCCAAAATGCAGAATTCTAGAATTACTGCTAGATTAAATACGTCAATCTTTTGTTTTTAATAACTTGTAAACTAAAATGACCTATTAGGTAATATCCATGCCATGGCTGAACATCTGCATTTCATTCATTACATTCATGATGAATTGATTTCATCACATTTACAACTACAATCTATGCTATTCATACAAACAGGCTTTTAAGTGGGATTTTCTAACTATCTTTCCATATATATATATATACATATATATTCCTAAAATATAATAAATTATGGAGTCATTCAGCATTTTGGCTTTGATCTTTCTTCATCTTCAATTCCCCCTGTGCTGTAAGCAAAAAGCCCTAATCGAATCATTGTTTGGCATTGGTTACATGTAGTATTCTAGAGACACTCTTATAGGTTAAATAGATTCCCTCCTTCAAAGACATGATTATTGTCCATGTATCAATCTTGCTCACATTCCTCACAACTTTCTGAACGCATCAAGGTTACTTGTGACTAAAATTAGCCTGTCGTGTCTGCAATATCTGCATTTTTAAAACCCTTTCAGTCAGATTAAGCTTTTGGTGTATGTATATTTATAATAAGCGTCATTGTTTTCTCTCCCAGAGCATATTTCAAGCCATATCACACTTTCAAACCTTTGATTAAAAAACATGTAAATATTCATTGTCTGTGGCTTGCATGATCATAGCATGAAACTCCTCTAATTTTAGGGAATAGTTCCTTCATCCACCTTGTTGCCATTCTCTTGCATTTTGACATGCACAATGATCAAATATTTATATTCTCTTTTTGTGTGATTTTGGGATTATTTATTTTCAAAGATCTTTATTGAAAACTAATTGTGGACTGATCGTACAAAGTCAACATACGTTTTATTAATTTTTCATTGAATTTAGTGAGTTCCCTATTAAATATGACTTTTGAAACAAAGTAATGGGGATCACACGGTGGCCTGCAGGCGAAAGGATGCTCAATAAATACACTGGAAATTGGATATTTTAGATGGAATTTAACCAAGGCAAAAAGCAGCACGTTTTCCATAGGTCCATGACAAAAATAGTTTCCAAAGCCTACACTCATTTGAAATTAACAATAGTAACGTAATTATTATATCAACCATTGCCCACAAGAGGGCAGAGTTGGCACAATCAATCTAATGTGTTTAAAGATAGACATAAGATTTACATAGACCAAAGCCTAATCCTGATTATACCCTGCGTGACAATGCTGATATCAATGGCCCTCGATAGGTGAAGAAAGTTAAAACCTCAGCCCGTATTAGCATTCAAAAGTAACGAATATACACAATGTAAACTCAATTAAAATGGGAGGCGCAATAGAATAGACATAAGTACGTTCTACATCATCAAATCATAACTATGCCTCCATTATATTTGCTGAAATTGTGATGTTACTAGATGTTACTGGTTACTGTTAAGGTAAAGAACTCCATCACCCAGCATTCCCTAGTCAGTGCTGAGGGGACATGCGCAGTGCGGAGCGCGGCAGACCCCGGGTAGCATTACAGCGGACTGTGCTAGTTGACATTAAAAGTTCATGAAACGTATATCACGCCTCGCCTGCTTATTATAAGAATACGCAAGGTACAACATGGTGTCAGAAGTGGCCGTGAGCAGCTAATGAAGATAGATTTGCCACGGGAGAACGACGGGAAAAAGAGAGAAAAAAAGAAATCTCCGGTCGCGTGAGGTAACGTGCTAACAAGTCAACATGCTAAAAGAGTTTGCTACGTCGTGTGATGGCTACAAGTGGCAGTGGAAGTGAAGCGGGAGATGAAGGACAGATCGAACATATAGAAGAGGATCTTGTGCCTGAAGCAGAGGACAACCGGCAACGCGAGAGGGCTGGCGAAGTCCCTGTACCCCGACTTTCAGTAATGGAGAGGCTAAGTCCACCTACTTCCATGCAACTGACTGGTAATCTTGCTGATAATTGGAAGCGTTTTAAGCAACGATTCAATATATATTTAGCAGCAAGTGGAGCAGGGGCTGATGATGAAAAACTGAAAGCTCACATTCTTTTGCATGTTATGGGAGAAGATGCTTTGGACATATATAACAGCTTTCAGTTGGATGAAGCTACTATGACCTTAGCAGAATTAATGATAAAGTTTGAAGAGTACTTTGTGCCTAGCCAGAACGTGACGTTTGAGAGGTACAAGTTTTTCACCCATGACCAGAAGCAAGGAATACATTTCGATCAGTACTTAGCAGAGCTTCATACATTAAGCAAAACATGTGAATTTGGCACCCTGAGAGATTCTCTGGTGAGAGACAGGATAGTTTGTGGCACAGTGGATAATGCACTCAGAGAGAGACTGCTCAGAGAAGCTGGACTTACACTGGAGAAGTGTGTCACTATGTGCAGAGCAG